AAAATGACCCTGAGAGGCTCTCGGGGTGTAAATACTGCATGGGCAAGGGGCTCAGGGGCATGTGGGCAGACAGGCGTGGAAGGGAGGCAGGCACTGCTCTTCCCCCACACCCTATTCAGAAGGCCACGGAGAGCTACTGACAGGCGTCCCAAAAGTAAGCAATGTGATCATGTTTCTTCCATGAACCCTGCAGGGAAGACATTCCTGGTGCTGGGTAAAAGAGTGGATGGAGTAATACGGCCCTGCCCTTGTGGAACTCAAGGCCCAGTTCAGGAACATTAAGGGACTAAAAAGAAAGGTGGTGGCCTGGCAATTTTACAAGGGGGAAGTGATATTCTAATAATGATGATCAGCAACAATAATAGGACTCATAATAGTGTGTAGCCCCATTTACAGGACCTGGCCAAGCGTCAGCCTTGAGCATTTCCTTCACACGCTCTGGGTCCATTCTTCAAGCAGCAGCTGGAGTGATTTCTGCAGGCTGGACCTCACGGCCTCTCTAACCCTTCCAGGGTCTTCAGGCACAGGCAGTGACCGCCCAGATCTTTCACACTAGGAACCCTGACTAGCACCACATGCGACTGCTCAGCACCCTCCTTCACCTCTCCCTTCTCTCACACTAGTGTGGCATCTTCCTAGCTCGAGCTAAGTAGCTCAAGGGGCCTTTTTGCCTTTGGGCCTTCGTTGTCCAGAAGATTTTCTCTTTGTATTTCCACAGCTCATTGTTACTCCTGTTGAGCCTCTGTTTAGATGTCTTCTTGTCTTTCTCCCCAATCCCTCTTTCTTTTCATTTTGAGGCTCGATTTCACTAAGTTGTCCAAGCTTGTCAGCTGGGGATTGGTTCTTACAGGATGCATCACAGTGACAGCCGTTTCTAAGAAACAAGAGCAACAGGAACTGGAACAGGAACTGTTACCTGGGCAACGAACAGACTGAGTGTACTCAATGGGAGGGGCATCTTCTGCTGCACCACGGGACTCTGTTTTGACAAGTGCCACTCCATTTCCAGGGTGGTGCCCTGTGTGTCCTCCGCAGTGAAGGTATGCTGCGTCTTCATGTGATGGAAGGACAAAGGAGGGGTCAAAGTAGTTCCTTCTAGCTCTTTTTTGGGGGGGAAGTAGGGGGTTTTTGAGACAGGGTCTTCCTATATAGTTCAGGCTAGACTTGAACTCACGGTGTAGCCCAGGCTGGACTCACACACACAGCAATCCTGTGATGGGGTTAATGGTGTGTGCCACCACATTTGCCCCTCCCAGCTTTTTTTACAAGAACATGAATCTGTTCACCAGGGCAGATCTCTTATGATGTAATTACTTCCCCAAAGGCTTTGCCTTATAACACCACCATAATGGGGATTAAACTTTAAAATGAATTTTGGAAAGGATATCATTCAAACCCTCCAACATAGCTCATTAATACAGCCACATTCCAATCTCCAGAAAGGAACAAAGGGAAATGGGAAGGGGCATTTCATTTCTTATGCTGCCTAGGCTGGCCCTGAACTCTTGAACTCCAACAGTCTCTTTACTCACCCTCTTGAACAGTTCCAACTGCAGGTGCATGCCAACTTCAGGCCTACCTCTGCTTTTTAGAGCACGACCTGGAAGACGCAACCAAAGTTGGACAGGCAGAGGAGTCTGTGTAAGAGACTAGAGGAAGAGTGGCCCAAGACAGCAAGAAAAGCTAGAGGAGAAAATGTAGTCGTGGGACCAAAGCAGCAGTTCCCAGGAGGCCATGGTTAGATACTCTGGAAATTGGAAAGACTGTGTATTTGGCTATTATGAAAATCTGACATTGATACAAGTAATTAAACAGTAAAAAAGAGACAGGTGGTAAATTTTAGGTGTCGAACAGGAATTTGGGAGAAAATGGGGACCCAGACACACACAGACAGCTTTTTAAAGAGGGGACAAGCCAGGTACAGTGGCACACACCTGTATGATGCTAGCACTTGGGAGGTTGAGGCAGGAGGACTGCCCTGGGTTCAAAGTCAGCCTGGGCTACATAAGTGAGTTCAGGCCAGCCTGCACTACATAGGGAGACCCTATCTCCAAAACAAAACTGGGGACAAAAGGTGGAAAACTTATTGATAGGAGAAAGAGCAACAGGGTAGAGTCTTGAGGTGAACAACCTAACCCTGTGAAAAAAATATTAGCTGTAGAAAGGAGAAAAAATGGTTCATATCTTAAGTCAGGAGGAATCAAATTTACACAGACTAGGCATGAAGGCAAGCATACCTGACATGCGTAATGATAAATAATGATATACATTAATAATGAAATACACAATAGTACTACTACTAGGACTCCCAAAGTTTTGACTGTGTTTCAGAGAGATGAGGCAAGAGGATCACAAATCTGAGCCAGACCTGGAGAATTTAGTGACCTGTCTCACAATAAGTAAAAAAATTTTAAAAATAAAAAGATTAAATTAAAAACAAATGCAGCCTGGTGCAAAAGCCCTGGTTCAATCTCTAGTGCCACCAAAAAAATTTGCTTTTTAAAGCGCGTACATGCCAGGCTGTTCTTCATGGAGCTAACTTTACTTCAGTAGTATTTCTTGAATAGCAGGGGTTACTCAGATACTGAAAGCTTAAGGTCTTACAATGGTTAAATATGTTATTATTTTGATGAGGCCTAAAAACAGTGACAGTGGATATCGTCCTATCTAAGCTGTTGCTCTTCTCCAGACTCGGATTTCTGATCCTGGGGTATGCTGGGGAATTAAAAAAAAAAAAAAAAGGTTTTGCACTTTTATTCATCCGCTGTGATTCACATCAAGAAACCTTGAGCAACAAAATAGCTCTGTCAAAAAACCAGATGCACCAGCAGTCTAGGGCAGAATGTTTCATTTTAAAAAGCTTGTGGGGATTAGTAGATACATACTAGTAGACAACCCTCCTAATCGCTGAAAAAGTATACATAGTTTACTTCCTTTTGAACTGATTTCTTGAAGGCAGGGAGAGAGATTTTTGATCTTTTACTGTTTTTCAAGGCCTGGCACAGTTCTAGGTAAACAGGAGAAGTTCAAAGTTTGTTCAAGGAACAAATCCATGTGCTTACACAATTAAACTGCTTTGTTTACTCAGCAGGCGAAATGAGAAAATTATTAGAAACGACTCTTATTAGCACAAGGAGTCTAGAGAATTTACTGCACACTTAGATACTAAATTGTTTGTGTGGGAGACCATACCTGAAGAAAATGTACAGCTCTGACATGGTAGAAAAATGTTCCTCAGCTGATACATGTGGAGGTGGAACACTGCTGTGATTCTGTGAATTCCAGGCAATACAAATGCGGGTAATTTGTACCAACAAACATTTCTAAATTTGAAATGGATAAATCAAAAAAGAGTGAGCTCCTTAACCAAGTTTAACCCTAGTGTCACTTGTCAGAAGTTAGCATTAATGAACGAAAAAGGACGGTAGGTAATTTTTCCAGATTTCTAGTAGGAATTGGGTTCCCCTTGATTTTAGTAAAGAACTGGAGAGACTTTATGACATCTAACAGCAATATTGTTTCTCTTGGTCTCTTTAATCATTTTAGAAGCCATAGATTTTGGTTCATTTTGATACTTCTACTATAAAACTACATTTCATTTATTCAGTCTGTTTCCAGTTAGAAGTCGAATGGTTTAAAACTCTCTCCACTGGTTTGCTCGTATTCTAATAAAGTCTCATAAGTTTTCATCCTCACTTTTCTTTTAATAACTTGCAAAGATACACCCTTAAAGCATTATTATTCTGACTAGTTCTTTCCATGAGCTTTAATAGTAAAGCTCCCAGATGTGAACCTCTATTGAGGGAGAAATGAAAATATTTTAAAAATACTGCAAAATCAGATATGGGTTAACACTGTCATTTGCCTTCAGCTTTCCTAGAACTTCAATTCTCTTGCTTCTGTTGTACAGTTGGTTGATTTTTTGGAGTTGGCTATGGGTGCTGCTGTACCCCAGCCTTTGGAAAGCAGGCGTGCCGGTTATAAAGTGCATGTCTATGCGTCGCTCCCGATGGGAACAATGTGAAGATGGGGTGACCGGTGTGTCACTCGGTGTTTTAAGGGCTTCTCCGCACACTGGCAAACCATAAAAGCCATGACTTGTCAGGGATCGCAACTCGGCCAGCAAGCGTTGGACGCACCAGAACCTCCTTTTAATAAAACGGCCACCCTGGTGTGGAGCACGATGACGCAGGGCTCTGAATGGGTTCAGCTGTCATGCGGATCAAAATTAGCCCGAGTCGGCGGCGCGGCCCTTCTCCCGCGCCTGCCTGCGCCGCCCGCCGCGGGGCCGCTCCTCCGCGCCCGGGCCAGGGCTGCAGCGTTCTGCGTGGGCAGCAGGCCTCGGCCGATGACCTTGGGCTCGGAAAGCTGGCCGCACGCTCGGGTCACCGTGCCCTGGTTCCCGGGGCAGCGCTGCGCAGCAGCTAGCGGTCAGGTCGGCTGCTGGACCGAGGGCTTCCGCGCCGCCCGGGCTTGAACCCATGCACGCGGCCTCGGCCGGCACCCGGAGCCGACCCGCCCCCCAGTGAAAGCGGAGGCGGTTTTCAGCAGGGTGGGCCACGGGTACGCTTCGGTCCTCCTGGGAGTGTTGGGGGCTTGCGAGGCGTCCCTGGTTCCTTCTGCTTGGCCACACACTGCCCAGGCCGAAAGGTGAGTGCGCGCCCCTTGCCCACTTCCAAGATGGCGGCCACCCTGCCGGGCCGGCGGCGCCGCGGGCTCCCTGGTCCCCTTCCCACCCGCCCCTGCGCCGGCGGCGACGGAAAGCGGGAGGGGGCCAGGGTCGCTCGGCGGGGGCGGGGCCGAGCGCAGCGCCCTCCCGCGTACGCCCCGCCCCGCCTGGCGTCCTCTGCTCTCGGCCCGGAGCCTCCGCCCGGATGGGCGGTGCGCGCTGCCTGCCGGGATTGTCGGCCCGCCCAGCCAGTCCTCCCGTCTTGCGCCGCGGTCGCGAGATCCGTGTTTCTCCCAAGATGGTGGCGCTGGGTTCGGGGTGACTCCAGGAGACGACAGGGCCCTCTCCCCCTCGGCCGAGACCGCGACACGCCACCCCGCGCTCGCTCGTGCGCCCTGCCGCCGCGCAGCCATCCGCCGCCGGCTTGGCTTCGCCTCCGCCGACCTTCGGCGACTCCTCGCGTCGCCCGCGGCCTGCAGCCCCTGCCAGGCGGGCTCCGCAGCCCCTCGGCGCGCACGACAGCGGCGGCTGGCGACGAGCGCCGGGTTCTCGGCGGCCCAGGCGCGCCGCGTCCCGGCCCCGGCTCCCGGAGAAGGCGCGGGTCCCGTATGAGCCCCGGCGGTGGCGGCAGCGACCGGGAAAGGGGCGGTGGCGGGCGGAGGCGGCGGGCGAGGGCGACTACGACCCGAGAGGCCGCATCCCAGGCGCGGGGGCGACGACAGGTCAGTGTCGCTGGGACGGGCCCGGCGGGCGCGCTTCCTCCGCCTCGCCCTTCGCCCCCGCCGCTCCCGGGCGGCCCTGCCGGGTGGGCGCCTTCCTTCCCGCCCGCCGGAGCGAAGTCGGGGCCGGGCCCTTGAGCGGGCCCAGGTGGCCGCGCTTTAACTGTCAGCCCGGCCCGGCGCGCAGGGGCTTGGTTACCCGAGGGCACCCGAGTGGACCTGGGCGGGGTGTGCACGCGGGGCGCCGAGATTGGGCCTCGACCGAGCCGGGGTCGCCGAGCCAGCCGAAGCCCGGGGCGGGGAAGGGGCAGATCCTTCAGAGGCATCTTTGAGGTTGCTGGTTATCTGGGGGAAGACATATTTAGACTAGTGCTTAGTGGGTTGGGGTTTTTGGGGGTGGATTGATGGAGAGGGAGGGCGAGTGGAGTGGTGTGTCAAGCTCAGGGATTGTGTTTGCAGATTACTCGTGCTGCTGGTCACCGGGACTCTGGAGTTAACGTGAGTTACTGGGTTTGCCAGAGACTGCTCTTTTAAATTTAGATGCACGACTGCAAGTAGTGCCCCTCCTCTTCAACTCTAAAAGGGAAAGGACCCTTTGCTCTTCTTGGTGGGGAGGCTTTTGTTGGTAGAGCCAGAGCTGAATGTACCAAGTGCGTTAGCGCTTAAACGAAAAGCAAGGTTTTTAATGCATTGGTTCATTTAGAAGCCTCAAAAGGTAATTGAGTCTTAATTTTTTTTTATGATTTCCTGTGAGCGTGTCAAAATAGAAATAGTACAAAGTCTGATTATATCTATTAAGTAGCTACCGTGCTTTTCAAATGTAAACTACATAGCATATGGGATCTATGGTTTAATCTTCACTCATGAAAGAATATGGCTATGATCCATAATTTTGAGTCACTCCACTACTTTTAGTATTGAGAAAAACAGTAGATTATTCTGTAATTTTTTGTTTTTTGTTTTTTTTTTTTGCAGAAGGAACAGGATTTGAAATGATCTAAAGTTTAAGGAATACAGATGTTAAAAAAGTTACAAACTCATGCAGGTGCCCGATAAATCCTGTTGAATAAATATAGTAACTAGGATGAAAAGTTGAGATTATTTGGTAAATCATAAATTTAGAATTTATGAGACATGAAAAGAAAATTGTCTTGGAAAGGCTAGTAGGCCTAGCTTTGGAATTAGTACATGCTTTTAAATCTAAAATACCGCATTTTAAATGAAATGAATACAATACTAATGCTGCTGCTAATAAATCCTAAAGATGACCTTCTTAGATTTAGATGCCTTTAAACATGTCATTCTGACCAAAACCAGAAAACGAAGTTGACCACAAAATAAGAGATAGCGTCAAGAAATAATATACAGTCTTTGGATATTTATAGACATATACAGAGGCAACAGCAAAAATACAAAGAATTAATTAGAATGCAAGTTATGGAAGTCTTATTGTGTCAATATTTTACTAGCATTAGTGTGCTCAGTAGTACACAGATTATCTTATTTGGACATTGTCCCCACCCCCTGGGAGTTAAACTTTATACACAGATACAGAGTAACTGTGTGTTGATTTCTTTTTCAGAGGTTTTGGAGGCTGCTTTTATTATCTTAAGTCTTCCCTTTTTCATAGCTAAAAGTCTGTCCTGTGAAGAAAACATTTTCTCATCCTCCTTGTTCACTACGTTTAATAGGATTCATTGGGTGCTGACAATGTCTTTGACTTACAATAATCAATTTTATTTCTTAAACTTTAGAGCATTTCGGTTCAGTCACCTTCACTGTACAAAAATTTTATAATTATTTCTCTCAGTGTTGTAATCAGGGCTTTACCTAAAAACTAAGTTTTCCTGTTTTCCTGCCCAAGCTCTTGAAATGGTGTTTCCAAATGTATGTTTTCTTAAATGATGACTGTTTATATATTCCAATCATGTTTATTTACTTGTACTGAATAGACTAAATATAGAAACATATTAAATGAATATGCAGGTATTAAAATTAGTTTTGTGATTTTTGTGAATGAAAATAAATTTTCAGAAGTAGTCTTTAAGTAGTGTGTGAGCCATAAAGTTGTATAAAAAAGATACTAGTTGTTCTTTTCATTAGAGTTCAGGGCAACAGTTTTGGCTGGTTTTTGAGTTTCCCCATCACTGGCCAATATAAAGATAATGTAATCAGGGCTGTCATGTTATGTGCAGTGGAAGTAGTTTTTGTAATTAGCCTGTTTTAAATTTTCATGTGCTGCAGTTTTATTATCTGTGAAACAGGATGGTGAAATTACCTCAGATGTGTGAGGATGAAGGTATGTAAAATTCCTAATATACTGTATAGGCACTCGGGATCACCTTAGAAATCATCTTGGTCCCCTTGTTTTCCTGTGTAGCTTTCAAGCACCTTGTATGTAGTGGCCTGCACTTTCTGCTTTATATTTCTTTTGTTTTGTTTTTTATTGTGAACTTCCTCTTAAAGGACAAGGACTGCTAATGTTTACCAAGGAGTTTGATACCATATGTCCTACTCTGGGCAGTTATACAAAATACCCGAGACTGGGTAGCTTATAGAAAGAAAAAAAGAAAAGAAAATTTAACAGATACTTTTTTATGGTTCTGGAGGCTGAGAAGTTAAAGATCAGGGTGCTGGCAAAGTTGTGGGTGTCTGTTGAGGGTCCACTTTCTTCTTGGTTCCCTTTTTATTGTAACCTCGCGTGGTGGGAGAGTAGAGGCCTCTCTGTTGGCCTTGTTTATCAGGGCAAATTCTTCCTAAAGCTGCATCTCCTGGAAGGGGTTGGGAGTTAGGTTTTCAACACAGGAATTTTGTTTTTTATTTTTTTTTTTGGTCTTTTTCCTTTTTATCGGTACCAGGGATCGAACTCATGACTGCCTGCTTGCAAGGCAGGCGCTTATGCCGCTGAGCTAAATCCCCAGCCCCTCAACACAGGAATTTTGATTGGACATATTCAGACCACAGCGTTGGAGTATGCTTGAATTTATTTTCAGGAAATTAGCAAAAGATCAGCCAACACTTACTGGGTATTTACTGCAGCTACTATGAGTTAAGCCAGGTTACCTGGGACAAAAAAAAAAAGCACACTGCCTGTCATCTGGAAGCTGGTTCCCATAACACCGCTTTCTGTGTCACACAGTAGTGTTTCAGTGCTTCCCGTCTTAGGCAGGAAGTAGGTAGGAAGCTTCCCACCACCTCTGCGCAGGCATTTTACTGTGTACTGCAGGGCTGATAGAAGGGAGCCTTCACACCCTGCCACCAGTGGACCACCTTTGTTTCTTGTGATAAGGGAAGTGAAGTAAAATTACACTAAGTAGGAATAATTGATGTTAATCTTCCAGAAATTTATATCCAGAGATAAAGTGTTTGAAATAAAGTTGCTATATAAACTCCTTATATGGAAAATAAAGTGATTTACTAATAAGGACACAGAAAATTTCTTTGGCAGCTTTCATTTTCATTTAATCTTAAAATGCTTTGATCTAAGTTATCAAACCAGTACATTCTAGTTAGTACGGATAATAATTTGGAAAGCTCATACTGAGAATGAAGTAAAGTTAGTGGTTTTCTTAACACTGCTCTTTGCACATCAGATTTATCTAGAAGTCAATTGTTAGTGTTGATTCTAATATTTGTGACTGACTGCCTTAAAATTTACATTTACGTGCTTCAGAGTTTCAACAGTTTCAGTGAACAAAGGCTCCAGGACAGTTGAGATGGAGGAGGGAGCACACTAATTTGGGATCAGAACATCTTGGGCTCATCTGTCTGCCCTAGCTTCCTAGTTGGTCAGGTATAGCAGGTCAGTTAGCTTTTTGTGTCTTTGTTCTGTCTAATGAAGATGATACTTGCTTTGTGTGAGAGGATTATCCTTTTCAAATGTGATTTTTGATTTGCTTTCAAAAAAAGTACACAGTATAAATTGCGCAAAATGACCTTATAACTAACTCAGTGATTTGAGCATGAAAACAGATCGATTTGTAGTAGACAGGTAATTGGAACCTTGGTAAATTTTTATGCCTCTCTCTGTTGACATTTTAAATCATCATTTTTAGAAATACTGTTTTTCTGAAATTTACGTTCTATGAATGTGATTTTAAATTTGTTAACTACATATAAACAGTAGATGCTAGTTGTACTTCATGTTATTGATACAAATTCCTTTTGTAATTTGTTCAGCTTAACCTCTTGTGATAATTGATGAATGACAAACAAATCATAAAATTTAACCATTTAAATTATAAGATTTAAATAGAAAAGCTTTTAGAGGACAGAACCATACAGCAGCTCTGAACAAGAATTTACTATAAGGCATTGCATCTGTATCGTGTATGAGAGTTGTGTAAGAGATTTTGTTTATTGAAGTCAGCATCTGTATTGTAAGCAAAAGCAGCTAAGTTGTATGTCAGCCTTCAACACTTCTTACACAACTAGGATAAAAACCTTTTGCTTGGATGGGGTGTAAGCCTGTTCTTCTTAGCTGCTCTGTATTTTTTGGCCTTCTGTACCTTCAGGATATTCTTTTTGCCAGTTAACAAGTCGTGTTGCACAGGAATTTCAAAGCTGTCGGCTCAGTATATCCATGCAGGTTCTTTTCATGTGATAACTTTTGTTTCTTGTCCAAAAGAATGGCCTGTCCATTTCAAGCTACTATTGGAGTATCTACAACCCTCAAGTTTCATTACTTTCTTGCACTCTGTAGCTTCCTGTCTGAAATGCATTGTTTTCTTCTTTGTTGATACTTTAAGCACTGCAGCTACCACTATAGGAGTTGTTTTTTCATATTTCTAACAAATACTTCCCTGTTAGCAAGTGTTAAGCAAAATGCTGTTATTTGGAAGAGAAAGACTGAAAATGCCCAGCGGTGTTTTATGCATAAAGCTAATGAGCCATAGAAGGAAATAAGGGTTATTTCCAGCTTTTTAATAATTTTAGTACTTTCTTCTTGAGAATTTTATTTATTGTGCCTCTGCGTGTGTGTGTGTACCAGCTTTGCTAATCAT